AAATAACCTGGATCCAAAATTTGGGCACTTTGTAAATAAACAATAAAAAGCACTTTGACTCATGTTTGAAAACAAGCTGTCAACTAGTACAGCTGTTTTAGAACTGGTGTAATAGGATCTGACTTTCAAGCCCCAGCAGGCCCCTACACTAGCTGAAGTTTCCAAGTCTTCAAAAGCAGCGGCACATAATGAAGTCTTTGGATGTGACTAGGGCACGCACAACTAAGCAAAATGGATTTTCTGTATCTCTTGCATTAAAGCTTCTGTCTGTATTCTCAGAGAATTCCAAAGGTCTGAAATAGCTGTGCTTTTGGTATAAACCATTCAGCCAGATGTTTCTACCTGCCAAGGCTTGCAAATAGATGAGTCCACTGTCCTTGTCCAAAATGGACTTCTATATTGCTTACAGGAAGAGAGAATGTATTTGTTTTTCCTGTTGCATTTTCTGTAAAACCTATCTCATTCTTTAAAAACTATCCAGCCCTTCATGTAAGGATGAAATAGTCTTGCTTACTACCAAAGTACACCATTCTCTTGACTGTTTGCACTATATAGCTTGAAAAAAGGTGACTTAGTTGGGAGCAAACATCTTTCCTTCTTTAAAATTATTTTGAGTGTTCTTAGAATTTATTAGTGTTACACAAAAGAGAGAAAGCAATGTTTAGACAGCAAAATGCCGTTTCCAGTCTTTACATGTTGCTCCATATACCTGGGCCAATAAATAACTTAAATTAGCTTCTGTTTTTCCTCACATTCTTTTGAAAAAACAAAGGTGAGAGAACATGAGAGAATACCTTTCCTTATCTGCTGGATACCAATTTACTTAGAAGGACAAACAAATAAAAGAACATTTTCACAGGAACTAAAACCAAACTTTTTGCATTCAAAATTCAGATTTTTGCTCAGTTAGCAGACATCAGTTGCTACTAGAACAAAATGCAGCTACTAAGATTGATATGATTCTTTTTCTTCTGAGAACTATCTTAAGCCAGTTCCTTTCCAGCCTTGTCTATAAAAATGCTAGTAGAGAAATCCTCATAGACAGTGAATTACCACCCAGCTGTTCTGAAGTAAATGGAAGTGCAGTCCCAACACATGTGCAAAAGTTGGTGTCTTAGATTGCTATCACACCTTCTTCAGAAATAGAATCAGGAAAGTTAGAAAAGCAAACAATTAAAGCAAAAAAAAAAAAATCCCATAAACTTCTTAGGCACAAACATATGGATGAGAAAACACACTGGGTTGGTTTAGTCAATTTTTAACTTGGAATCTAGTTGCACTTATTTGAAATTCATAGTCTCTATTTATGTAGATATCATGACTTCTGTAGAAAGGCTCCATTGCTAAATATCTGTATGCAAGAGAATTGCATGAAGCCTACCCTTACCAACTCATTACTTAAATATCAGTGAAGACTACATGTGATCGAGGTCCATATTACTGAACTACAACTCCTGGAGACCCCTAGCCAGCGTGACTAATGATTAGAAGTGCTGGGAGTTGTACTGCAGCAGTCTCTAGAGGGCCTTAATTTCCTCCCCCCCCCCCGTCCCCCGCTCCCTCTACAAAAAGCTAAAGAGCTAATTCAGTGCCCTTTCTTTCCATTAGAGAACTGTATCAGTGTTTCAGATGAATGAATGCCACTTGTTCAAATATCATTAAGCCACTTTGATATATTCCTGATGTGGACAAAGCAAGATTTGCTTCTATTACTATTTTTAATATTAACTGAAAGAAAATGGCTAAGCTTGATAGGTGCTCATTGAACTGATTCTGATTTTTTTATAACAGGTCTTATCTTTTGAGTTTACAATAATAATTTTAAAGTTAACCTTTCTTGTGGTCAGGCACTTAAAAATCCTTCCCTGTTTCAGCAACATATGCTAAAATGTTAATGTTGAAGGACATATTATCTATGTGTTACCTAATTGCATATATTCAACTGTGTGCATATTCCAGGGAAACAAGTACTGGTATGCATGTTTCACACATTATTAGGCAATGCACAGATAAAGATTCCCTAAAATAATATGGTTCCATATGTGGCATGAAAGAGAAGAGTTTGTCAGCACACAAGAATCAGCTTTTGTTCCCCTTAGTACATGGCATAAAAAGTTTTCTGTACTGTACATTACTAGGAACATAAGCTTACCTTCCAGAAAGCATGTATTATTAGGAGTAGGCCTGGTACTGTTACAGAAGTGGGCTGAAAATACCAAAATAAAATGTAATACACAAATTCCAAAGTATTTCACCTAGGAAGAAGAAATCACAGGCAGAGATATAGGATGGGGAACCCCTGACTTGCTAATAGTACTTGGAAATATAGTTTATCAACAAGATGAATGTGAATCACTAGTTTTAAGCTTTATCAAAATATAAGTATATTTTCCAAATTATGGGAAGTAATAGTTCTACTATTTTGCTTTGGTCAGACCCCAAATACTATGTTTAGTCCTGGGCTCCACAACATTTTCAGAAAGTTTTAAAGAAACTTGACCAGATACAGAGAAAGGCAACAAATGGAACTAGAAATTAACTTTTAGAAAGAGAGACTGGGGGAGTAGAATGTTTAGCCTTGATAAAAGACAAATGAATCAGGATATGAAAGCATTTTTCCAGTATCTGAAAAGAAGAAGGTCAAAGAGTGTAAAACACAGCACAATGATCTTATGTTATTGTTCCATTTGCTGGATGTATTTAAGCAGAGGCTAGATGAACTTTTGTTGGTCATGGGTTAACTGGGATCCCTATATTGAACAGGGGACTGAATTTGATAGCCCAAACAGGCCCTTCCTACTCAATAATTTTATGAATTGGACATTATCAATGTAGAATGGAAATACTGATCTCTACAATGATCATATTTACATCACCATTTGGGAAGCTATTATAATAATATCTACTATTCTTGTTTCATTTAGCTCTGGCTTTGAAGTAGTTCAAGATTTTCTTTTGCTCTGTGATTTCTAACCACTGGAAACAAAAATTTGGCTCTAGAACAGTAACTTCTCTGATGAACATTTTTATCCTGGGACTGAATGACTTAATGTTTGCGTTTTCATAGGAGGATCCCTCTTCTGGGCATGTTGAGTCTTATTGATGTGGAAACCCAAATTCCCCAAGAGGCTTTCCTTTTGAAAAAAATTAAGCAAACATGAGACAAAGCAAAGGAACGCTTTGGTAAAGGGGAATCCAACTCTGCTTTCTGCCAACAAGGAATAAAAAAGCCAAAGTACAGCGCTCCTGGCATTCTTCTTGGAAACCCACATGTTGGTATAGGAAGATGCCTTTAGCAATGTTGACAGTAAATTGGCTAAAGCTACAAGTCTGAATAAATGTGAACTTGATGAAGAGAGAAAAGAGGCCGCTGACAAAATAATCTCGCTCCTCTACTGATCCTCCTGAGCATGTCATAGCTGCTCCTAAATTTTTCATGGCCAGTTCACATGACCAGGTGCCTTCACAACAGTTTGTTATAGAAATTTAGGGAAACTTGCATAGATTATAATCTATTTTGCAGTGATGGAAAAACAGCAAACTGCTGCCTGCAAAGAATGATAATGTCTCAATATAGGAGAATAATTATTCAAAATTTCGTACATTACACAAATTATATTCTTGAGCCAAATTACTGTCATATGGCTTGAGTTATGGCTGAGCTTTTCCTTGATCTTCTAGTAAGAAGGAAATTATCACGTTCTAAACTATGGATCATTTTTAAAGCATTTCACGTCTGCCACAGGATAGTTCTATGCCACAGTAATAGATTCCAGTAATTGTGTGCAATTACAGGGATCTCTTTTTTACTAGCACGTAATTGCTTTAGCCATAATGGCCAATTCAACATTTTGTTCCTTTCATATGTCTTAGATTATTCTGCCCTCTGTTCAACCTTTCACTGTGGACTTTGACTATGATTCTTGATTGCTTAGAGTTGAAATGCTTGTTGTTGTGTTTTGTTCTATTAAGCACTTCAGCCATTGTTTTTTGTTTGCATATTGTCTTCCTAGACAGTTTACTCTGCCTTCTGGTTTTGAGATAAGAAATAGCTCGGCCTTAATTAGCCATGTGTTCCATGTGTACTATTTGTGGGAAACTATTTTCCTTCAGGAAGGACTGAGGCTTTCCTCTGTTTTCTAAGTGGAGTTTTGCTGATGTACTTGTTTTTTTTTTTTTGGAAAAAAAAGTTCTTATTAAAACATAATAACAAGATTAACTTATTGAGGGACTCCTCTACCCTGAAGTTGTTTTGGAAGAGAAAAAGGACAATACCTGAGGTACCTTTTGTGCAATTTAATACACAACCCTGTTCTGGTCTTAGCTAATATCTTGTCACTGCTTTCTGCTGCCATGGATATTTCCCAGCAGCAGAATGGTACACACTGCTCTGGCTGGGTTTGGAAAAGAAGTGGGCAACTCTGTCTTACCTGCACCTCCCCTCATTCAGTGGGCTCCCAGCACATCTGCATAGGGGAGACTTATTAGTAATGAAGTAAACAAAGGCAGGACTGCTTACGATGTGCAGTGTTTGCTTAATGTCACATTTAAATCCAAACCTAATAAATAAAGCAGATTTCTTTTTTAGGAAAACAGGTTTCTTAAACCAGAGCATAGCAAAAACAAACGTTATATGTGTGGAATGGAGGGAAATATAAATTTATATTTTTAGATATCTTCCTTTACTTATTTTTCAAATATATCTTTCTTTTCCCTCTGTCAGGTATGCATATACGCAAATATGCATACCTGACAAATGGTGGGAATTGCCAACAAATCATGAAAGTCTGAACATCTGAACAAATCTCATACAACGAAATACACAGTAGAAACAACTTATCCTTGGATTGTTTAGTTGATGTTTTCTTCAGCATAGATGCCTAACTGAGCTTGTTCTGCCACCAATATCTCACCATTCATATTTAACCAGAGTTTTTAAACTAGATATTGCTATAAATACACTTTTTCTAGTCTCTTTAATCTATCTTCTTTTTTTCTAGAGCAAGTCATGGCGGAAAATCAAGAACATGGTGCATTGGTCCCCCTTTGTTATGTCTTTTAAGAAGAAATATCCCTGGATCCAGTTAGCAGGGCATGCAGGTATTAAAGATCAAGTTGTGCTGTTTCCATCTCAAAGAGAAACTTCACTTAATGAAAGGAAAATGCTTAGGAAGTCTCTTGAGGGATTTAAGATAATTAGCTAGCCTCAACATAAATTACTTCTGTAAATTGAATTATAAGTACTTGTGTTTTTCTCCTACTGTTTTACCTTTATAATGTCAGATTAGGTTTGTACTAGAATTGCTGATTTGTTTAGACATAGCAAACCTGGCACCTGAGGAAATCAGCAATGCCCACAGAAACTCACTGACCTGATTTTATTTTTGAAAAATTATTTTAATTTAATGATTATAATAAATGCAAAGCTGTTGTTGCAACAAGACACCAGCTTCTAGCATAATTTTAAATAATAATAATAATAATAATAATAATAATAATAATTTATTAAATTTATATGCCACCCAACTCCCAATGATTCTGGGATCTCTGGGATAATTTTTGCTTAAGGAGAATGACTCTAGCTTAACTCCTTAAACATTCCTAGAAAATAAAAATGATGTGGCTGCAGTCTAGTGCTTTGTTTGGAAATGTGTCATATGCCATGAAAAAAGCAAAATAAGCTGGGGGGCTAGAAGGGATTGTGAGACTCATCCTTTGGAAGCAGTTTTGAAACTAGCCACAACACCATTTTATAAGCCGGCATAACTTCCTATGATAGCCGCTTTGTGAGATCACCCATGATTTTCTCTTAAAATTCCAGTTGTGCTCAACTGCTCCAAAATGTTGCTTACCTCTGAATTACATATAAAGCCTTGAAAATTTAATGCTACTTGAAATATATGACTCAGGAACTAAAATGTTCTATCTTCCCCTTATCCTGTCATGTGAACAGTTTGGGCACATAACAAGCCTGTGTCTCTGCTGCAGATAAATGGGTTGAATTTCTTACAAAGCAAATCTTCGGTGTATCTCAGAAAAATGGGGTTCTAACACTCCATCAGAGATATCCATAGTCCCTTCCCCATATAATGAGGATATCCTGAGTATACCCCCTATAGATAATTGTAAACTTGTTTTTATAAGCAAAGCAATATTGCTAGCTTCCTATGCAGTTCTTATATTTAACTTAGACATTAGACTTCCCTCTAATTTCCATCTGCTGCTATGTGATAGGAGTCGTTCCTCCCACAGAGTTCCCAGTTATCTACCCAAACAGCCCTGGATTATATTATATTAAAGTAGGGGTGGAGCACCTCTGGCCTGTGAGTCTGTCAGGACTGCTTATCCATTACACCAAAGCCCTAGTAGAATCCTCCTCTCCTCCACAAAGTCCTGCCCGTAGAAACAAAGTGGTAGTGTCACAAGGGAAGAGATTCCAGCTTTTCCTCCATGTCTAGATACCAGCGTTATTCTGTGCACAGAGAAAGCATAATTCTTTTCTCTTTTTATTGAGAGAGGAGGCAGGATCTCCTTCTCAATGACTAGATTGCTGTCCTCTGTGGGTGAGGGGTTCTTTACAGGTTAGACCACCAGAAGGTATCCTAGGAGGTTATTTGGCCCTTCAACCATAACATTAAAATGAATAATATTCTCACTCCTGCGCTAAAGGAAAGCTATGAGCATGTGTGTATTTTGCCTTCTGGCAGTCCTGGCGCAATGAATTTGCACCTCCACTCAAGGGAAACTGCATCATCTGCACATGAACATGGGTCTGTATCCTAAATCAAATATGATTACAGTGGATATAGATTTCTGTTCACCTGACTCTCTCATTCAAACATAGAGGATCAGTCTTGATCAAAACAAAACAAAAACAGGATGAGAAGCCCAGAAATGCTTTAAGAAGTGGCTGGAATAATTTATTGACATTCCCCCACCCTTTCAATCCTTTATACCACCCCTTTGTAACTTTTTTCAGTACAAAAAGCAGGAAGAGAGCTGTGTCTGGAGCAAAACAATTGAGCAGAAAGAAAGTCACTTATACATTAGTATTTGTGTATGTGGGATTAGCACCATTCTCCTCTATGGTCATTAAACTTGCACATGAGATGCACCCATTTCATATGTTAATGGCATGGGCATGTTGTAAATAAATAGAATGATCATGTTGGGTTGAGCCTCACAATCAAAATAGAGTAATCTAGGGTTAATTCCCCTTGTACATGAGAAAGACCGATCTAACGCTTTCTATTAGTTAGGATGTGATGCTTTTTCAGTCTGGTTTCCTATCTCTTTCCCATACCAACTGGGGGAAAAAAAAACATTTTAACAAAATATTCTGTTTAGTCTTTTTATGCTACTTTGTCTGAAATAGATCCATGTTATTGCCATTCATTTAATAGCATAATAGAAAGCATCTGTGTGTGCAGTGTCAGAGAACAAAAGAGTAATCTTGTTTGCCTTAACTTTTCAATTGAGCCTGCAGGTAGCACCTATAAAATTTCAGGGTATATAACCACTTGATTAAATACAGTAGAAGGAACAAGGAATCCTAGCCTATCCCAACTTGGTGCTGTCCAGATGCTGGTTGAATATTATAGGGACTGAAATCCAGCATATCTGGAGGATACAGGCAGGGACAGCTGAGGCATTCCATAGCTGTGTGAAACATTCTTTGTTCCAATTTTTTAAAAAGTCTTCCATTTGCATTTTAAAAACAACAACCTTATTTTGGTCTGTCTTTCAGGTAGCTTCAAAGCTGCTGCAAATGGGAGGATATTAAAGAAGCATTGTGAGTCTGAACAGCGTTGTTTGGACCGTTTGATGAATGATGTCCTTAAGCCTTATGTTCCTGCCTATCATGGAGATATTGTGAAGGATGGGGAGAGGTATAATCAGATGGAAGATCTCCTGGCTGACTTTGATTCTCCTTGTGTCATGGACTGCAAAATGGGAGTTAGGTTAGTTTTTCTTTATAGCCAAGAATATACAGTAACCTGATTCTCACAGCAATATTTGGTAAAAGAAATGTAGGCAAATATAGATTTCACTACCTGTATGTGAAAACGAGCATAGTAATTTGGCCTTGCCCTGCCCTAACCCTGCTGAGGGTTTGTTAAAGCAACACTGAAAAACCTGTGTACTGATCTGTTTGCTCTAATGCAAATCTGAAGTTCAGTTGCACATCAGATGTTCTTGCATGATCACTATAGGTCAAGCTGATTTTTATCTCTGTTTGAAATCTGGCAGAGATGATTATCTTGGAAAAAGCAGATGATTTCATTGTTTGAGTTTTAAGCATGAACAGACAAGTAAAGCCTGATTGTAGACATAATTGTGTTCTCTCCATTGAATAATAAAAGGAACAATCTAAAAGAAACTTCCCTAATTTAATGCCATTCAGATTTGCAACTCCCATTACCCTGAACCACTAAAGTGGATGGTCATGTTGATCGGTAAGGGAGGTGATGTCCAACGTAACTTGATGAATAGTCTGCAATTCTTATCTAGATCATTTAAAATAGGGGAATTTGGCAAAAGGGGAATTCTGGCTCATCTGAGCTAGTAGTGTATCCAGGACTTTTTCAAGTTTTGCACAAGTTTCTTACAATGGCATCTTCTAATTAAAATTATTCAGTTTGACTATGGGAAGGTACTATGAAGGGTTTTATATAAACGTTGGAGAAAAAGTCCTTAAATAACTACTTTTTAGTAGCACTTTCAGTACTGAATTGTGCTCTCTAGCCACTCCAAACCCATGATGCATAACGAAATCCACTGTCCTATGTCATCAGTTTACTCTTTGTGAAAAAAAGGTTATTTGCTCTGTTTGGCTTAGAATCTTCCTGCACTGAAGAAAAACAAAGATCAAATTAACTGCATGAACAAATGGAAAAACATCCTAAGCTGTGGGTTGACCAGCACATTTTTCCAAAAAAGTACATCCTTGTCAGAGAGATAATAGAGGATTATTATAGCTTACTTGACTTAGAAACAACCTGTAAATTTGGTGTTCTCTAGTATCTGCATGAGAGTGCATTTAGCACAGCCCTTCAGTTATATAGACAACCTTGACCAGTCTGTTCAAAATGAAATATAAATATTCTATTTAATAACACAGAGTATATGTTAAAGATTAGTGACTCAGTTTATGTATTTTGAGCATGTTGATGTCCCCTAGATTTGTTGGGACTGCAGATCCCAAAATTCCCAGATAGCATGGCCAACAGCAAAGCTGTCTGGTAACTTCAGACACAGCAGTTCTGATAACTACTAGGTTCTTAAACAGGTTGGTAAAAATGCAACGCGTATTGGGGAAAATTAGGAAAAACTGGAGGATGTGTAAATTATTGATACCCATGATTGCCAGATTGCAATCCTATTTCTGGCCTATTGCATACTTCTGAATAGGGGCATCTTCAGTGGCAATGTTCAAAATGTAGAATGCTGAGAAGGATCAGTTCAGTGTTTTAATTTTTATTTTATCTCAAACATAAGCAAGATTCCACAATTAAGCTAATTTTCAGTAGACAAACTAAAGCTATTTCTTCACACATAAAACAATATATGGGCATCATTTCCACAGAGATGTCATATAATCATTAGCTCAGATGACTTTCAAAGGAAGTCAGTGAAATAGAGATATACTGACATTTGTTAAGCATGGCCTTGAAGATCAGATTTAGGATATGCCTGCACAGAAGCTTCTGGGAGACATGCTATGCTTGTGGGCTTAGAAGCTATAAAGAAGACAGTGGATTATGTGACCACTTAGTGTAATCTAGCAGAGTTAGATTACTTATCATGGTAAGGATTAAGAAAGGAAAAAGCAACCTGCTTGACCCTTTAGATAGTAGTGTATGACCCTTCAGGTCCCAGTAACCCAGCCAGCATGGCCAATGGCAAGGCATTGTGGGAGCAGTAAAACACCCTATGATTTAAGATGTTACCATTCTGAGATCAATAAATATGTCATTGAACTTGGATTTGTATCTTGCACATACTCTTCTCAGCTTGACATTCCCAAGTAAATATGGAACCATGAGATACAAAACAACTGCTAAGAACTGAGAAGTTCTCATGACTGGGAGTATACTGCAAATATAGGGTTGAATTAAGATAAAGGTAAACCTGTAGAAGTTTATAGGATCTGTAACCAGGATCCTAACATTTAGTGTTAAAGGACACTGAGAAAGTGCTGCAGGATGGTTGCATATCTTTTGCTGAATGAGTACTCTGCAGTGAAATTTCAGGCAGTATAGCTGTTGATTTGGAAGACAGAGCTCTCTAGTGGGCAAACAGAGATTAACTTAGAAAAACATTTTTGTTCAATCTACTGTACTCCATACCTAAGTTCATTATGCTGCTAATAAAATGAAAGGTCAGTAGCATTCTTGCATGTCAACTTGCCAGTAGATGAAGTGGAAGCATTTTGTATATGGAAACTATTCCAAAATACACAATTTAAATATCTTAAGGAAACTACCCATGTCATCATTCATGGACCTTTCAGAACAACTAGTGACTCAGCCCATTTCTGACTGCTTACTGCATGTAATATTGAAGAAGAAAACAATTATTTTTACACATAAGCACTCTTCATAGCAGGTTTGGTTTAGAATAGATTCCAGAATACAAAATGTGTTATGCATCCAAGCTCCCAAGAGCACTAATATATATTCATAGCTCTCCTAACATGTGATTAGTTATACTCATAGATTAATCCATATGACTGTTGTGGGTGAACTTCTGAGGCAAAGTCCCTTAAAGTGCTTGTGATATGAATACACGTGGCAATTTGGGAGGCCAGTGAAAACCATCCTGGTCAAGCTATACTCAAACTGAATGGTTCACTGATTAGACTTTCAAGGCCCAGGGGGTACCTGTCCAGTAGCATGTACTTTTTGAAACTGAAGTTCCGTCAACACTTCAGGCTAGGCTAGACTGGCAAGACCAAGCCCTTGAAGGATAATTCTGACCCCATTAGACAGTACATCCACTATTTGAATCTGATTTGGCTTCAGTGTGTTCACTTCAATCACTCAAAAAAGTTTGCTCTTACTGTTGTACCTATTAAAGATGGTGTTGACTTCCTTAATATTAGAATAAATTATTATGTTCTAGAGTATGGATGAGCAACAGGTATTCTTCCATGAGGACCAATAATAGTGTCTTGCCTGTCCTGTTCAAGAGAAGATAGGAAGAACCTGTGCATCTGCCCAGACAGCAGTGATACAGTGGTAACGAATCAGTTTTCAAATATGATAATGTGAACATATACTGTCTTTGCAGAACCTATCTGGAGGAAGAGCTATCAAAGGCCAGAAAGAAGCCAAGTTTGCGGAAAGACATGTATCAGAAGATGATTGAAGTAGATCCTGAGGCTCCAACTGAGGAAGAGAACTCTCAACGTGCAGTGACCAAGCCTCGATATATGCAGTGGAGAGAAACCATAAGTTCTACAGCAACGTTAGGGTTCCGGATTGAAGGAATAAAGGTAGATTGTCAAATTTGTCTATTGCAACAGTGCATGGGAAACATGTCTCTGATTAGCTTGTACTGTAATATAAAATGCCAAATATTTTTTTGTTTAGGTTTGACTATTCTGTATAAAATACATCCTTATAGAGTGCTTGTTATTGAAACTGGCTCCTTTAGAGACAGATGTGCTTTCCCATTATCAACTTGGGATGGCAAGATCATGGAATTCTTTATGGCATGAACTCTTTCCCTCTTCCTTTCTGTGATTAGTCATTGGACACATGCAGCTGACAGATGACAGACTTCCTGTCATTTTTCTAATAGAAACTCCTGCTATATCATTATGCATAAGTCATAAAGGTACATATAGTGGTAGTTTTAAACATACTTATTCAACCAAGAGACTGTTCTTATGAATAGAGAATACAGTAGCATGTGAATTCTTAGTAACAAATTCTGAATAGTGCAATCCAGCATGACTGTATGGAGGCTTAGGTTTACTATAGTCTCCATCCCTGTCATGAAGCCGGCTTGTCTGGCTTCAAAAAAAAGGGTTGGACCAATTCATGGAAGTCATGGGGATCAACAGCTGCTGAGAGACTAGTAGAAAACAGACTGCTGGACTAGATGAATCCAGCACGGCACTGCTTACATTCTTATAAGTGGAATTCTTCTCCATCTATCTGAGCAACAGCAAAAGCTCAGATGCAAATGGTTTACTGGATGTTGCAAGATATTACAACGCTCTCCCAGTTGTTTGGATATCTGGAGAAGTACAAAAAGGGTACTGGAATGAAAATACAGCACCCATCTTAAACTTTCAGCTGAGTCCATAGCTATGGGTTTCAGATACCAGTTCTTAGCAAAGCTAAAGCTGCTAGGAAGAAAATATTAAAGTCTTAAAGGAACTACAATAAAAAGTTTTTTTTTTTACTCTACATATTTAATATATATTTTTTAATTGCTACCTGAAAAATATTTGTATCCCAAAGCATGCAAGTATCCCATTTTCAGGAAGGAGAAAGCAAGAGTGAAAATAAGTTGCTGCATGTGTTTTGGAATAGAGGAACTATGGTATCCAGTGAGGGATATTTTCTCATTCCAGTCCAGATCTAAACCAATGGGTTATATCTGCTTGATTATATTAGCATTGACTTCAGGCATCTCTGTGCCCATTACACTAAACCTTAAGAGGAGGGATATGTAATAAAACTCATGGGTTTAAAGGAATCTTGGGCAATAGGGTTTGCCTAAGAACATCTCCAAGTTGGAAGAATGTTACTGAGGTAAATGAATCAATGGCCTGCAACTTCCATTGGCTGCATTGTTGCACTGAATGCAGTCTCCTAACAATAGCTTACTACATTAAATCCTTCATACAAGAGCTGGTAAGACAGAAAGTGGGGGTCAACATATAGATTCCTTCCAGCCTTAGAATTTCCATGAATTCCAAAATGCACTGTGTTTGAAGACCTAGATATCTAGCATTGTGCAATGTGATAATCTGCTAATGAGGTGAATTTTTCTCACCTCCTTTGCATCCATATGCACATATCCAAAATAATCTGTTCCAAACCCTCCAGACTAAATAGAAGAGGAATGCCTCCACTGGCAGCAGCTGGACACAACCGATTTCACTGAAAACTATAAACATAGAAATGATTTCTCCAGTCTCCTGAGATACCCAGCAAAAAAAGCAGTCTTCCCCCCTCCCCCCATGGCTACTTATTAAGTTGTGATGACTGTCTCAGATGTTTCCCCTAAATTTTGTTGTGGGGTATACTCCATTCTGTTTATTGAACAGCAAGTGATATTAATACAAAAGGGTTCTTCTGAGTAATAGCCATGCTTTTGTCATTGTTTTTTAAAGAAAGAAGATGGCACCGTGAACAGGGATTTCAAGAAGACTCGGACAAAGGAACAAGTCATGGACGCCTTCAGAGAATTTACAAAAGGAAACCATAACATTCTGGTGAGTCACTCCAGCTATTTCCTTTGGCGTTCTTCACTTTGGGTTAATTTAACATCTAAAACCACATGCCAGAATGAAAAAGGGATCTGTGCAATGAAATGGGCAATGCTTTCACTCAGGGATGAGTGGGCCACAACTACCCCCAGATCCATTTTTATGCCCCTTTGAGCCCCCACCCCCAGTATCTTGTTGCCAAAATTCAGCAGCAGCAAAATGTTGGGATTTGGGGGGGGTTCTTTTTACTAATGAACCCCTAAAATAAATGTTATACCTCTGATAGGCTTAACACCCATTCTGAGTAAAAACAATACAGACACTCCAGCCAAGTAAGCCAAAAATACTGGGTTTTGCCATGGTTGATGGTGTCACAGCAATATGCTTTGCAGAGCTCCAAAATAAAAGTACAATAAGGTGTAGCTCCTGACCGAAATAAAATTATCTAACTCTTGCTTTAACTAGTCAAAGCTCTGAATAGGTTGGTTTAAATTAAATTAAATATGACAACTTGCTTAAAGTTTTTCAGCCTCCTCACACTATAATAAACATTTTAAAAAAAGTTTGTCTATGTCCGCTGTCTTAGAAGAAATTGTTTTTGAAAGGGGGCATATAAATATTGGAATATATAATCAAAATTGTATTATCTCTTCACTCTGTTGAACAAATGAATTTAATTTTAGGCCCAGTCAGATTTAGTGGGATCCTTTTCTTCTTTTCTTTTTTCTTTTATTAAATTACTACTCTGATGAGAGGATACAAACAAATGTTATTTCTTTTCTTCTTTTCTTTTTTCTTTTATTAAATTACTACTCTGATGAGAGGATACAAACAAATGTTATTTCTTTTCTTCTTTTCTTTTTTCTTTTATTAAATTACTACTCTGATGAGAGGATACAAACAAATGTTATTTATTTTCTACAGCTTATGTAGTACTCTAATCCATGGACTCAGAACAGTTTACAAACCCCTTTCCAATAAAAGGATTAAAAATAATATATCAAAATAGCAAACAAATTAAGACAATCAACAAATTACAATTGCAATAAACTTTGCAAAAAGGAATAAGCAAGTTTCACACATACAATAGCAGGGAGCCTCCTTCTTCACAACAGTCCAAGGGCTTTGAAACAGCCAGGTCTTAAGAGCTTTACAGAATGTTAAGAGGGAAGGGGCTAGTCTAATCTTGCAAAGGTGGGTGGGTTGGCAGGGAGACAGTTTCCACAAGACTCATTCTCAGAATCCCTGTGGATGATGTTCTCTTAAAAAAGAAACTTACTGCATGAACAGAAGTGGGAGTAGGTGGTCCCAAAGATATCCAGGTCCCAAACCATGTAGGCCTTTAAGGGTAGCACCTGGAAAGTAACTGAAACAGAGGTGTTACATAGGAGTACCTTGTGGCATCTGTCACTACTCAAGCCACTGCATTCTGGACCAACTGAAGCAGCCTATATAGGGCATATTGCAATATTGCAACAAGAGGTAACTAAAGCGTGAGACCCTTTTCAGGCAAGGTTGTAACTGATGCACAAGATGTAATTACTGTATGTGAAGGCCCCCCTAGCCACAGTGTCACTGGCTCCTTGATAAGGAGTTGACAGTGCAGGAGGAACCCTAGATTTTGAATCAATTCTGCCCAGAATAGTGCAACTCTGTCCATAACCAGATACCCCATCTTGGTGGGATTAAGCCTAAGCCTCTTCTTTTCCAGCCAGATCCTGATAGCCTCCAGGCATCAGGAGAGGACATTAGCCATGTCTCCTGTTTGGCCCAGGCTCAAGATATACATCTGAGTTCCATCAGCATACTGAAGATACTTAACCCTGGCTGCCAGATAACTTCTGCCAATGGCTTCACATAAATGTTAAAAAGGAGAAGTGAGAGAATCAAGCCTTGCGAGACACCATAACAAGAAGCTCTAGGACTGGACCTCTCCCTCCATTACCACTCAGAAAGGAGAACAACAGCAAAACAGCACCTCCAATCCTAACCCATATAAGCAGTTCAGGAGGACACCATGATTGATGATATCAGAAGTCCCTGAGAGGTCCAGCAAGACCAGGAGAGTCACACTATCATTGTCCAATCTCACCACAGATCCTCTGCAAGAGTGATCAATGTGTCTTCAGTGCCATGTCCAGGCCCACGTCCTGACTGAAACGGGTCCAGAAAATCTATTTCTTCCAGGCACTTTGTTACTATAGGTAGTTATTTAACACTGATGAGTTCAGCAGTGATTTCTTGAGGATGGGACACCACAACTTTCAAACCGCTGACAGCACCTCCTTTCTCAAGGATGCATTAACATCACTCTGCCCTGACCCTGCTTCCTGCTTTCATCAACCAGGAAAGAGAGGCTTTCTTTCTTGCTTGTTTTCACCAACCAGACTATAAGCAGCATAGCTGACATCACAGAGTCTGATGACAGGACCATGACAAAGGACAAATGCCCTCTACCCTCAGATCACATTCCAAGACAAAAACCAGGTGTAATTTGTGGCCTTCCAGATGGGTTGAGGCCATGATGGTTTGGTACAAACCCATAGTTGTCATGATGGCCATGAACTCCTGGGCCACTTTGGAAGTCCAACCAGGAAGGGCAAGTTGAAGTCACCCAGCACTGTAAGCCTGAGTAACTCCATTGCCACCCCAGAAATGAGGTTGAGCAGTGCTGGGAGGGATGCTGCTGTGTTCATTGCGAAGTCATTTTTATGCAAATACATTTGCTTGCAGGCCTGTCTTTTAGAAAGGTGTGAACAAAATTAAATGTATCTGAATAATTCCTATAAACTAAATCTCTTATATTAAAGATAGACAGTCTGTGGCTTCAGAGCCAACTGTGGCACTCAAAAGGCTTGGGTGTGGCCCTCAGAAACCCTCCAAAAGTTGCCACCAAATTGTAATTTTTTTGTAATCTGATAAAATCATAAAATTATTATATACATGGGGAATGATTCATTATAATTAGTTTAATTTTAATTAGTATTATTTTTAATTCTGGCCAACCCCCTCCTCTGTTTTTTCTCCATTTCTTTTCCCATACAAACACTGAGGGATTTTGCTTTAACATTACAAAAAAGATTACCTACCACTGCCTTAAGTCCTTTCCTTCCTCCACTCTCACCTGTTATTCATTTTTGTAAGTCATTTGATATCTAGGCTGGAATATGGAGCTCATCTGATTCAGGAGCAATGGCTTGGCTTTTGTATTTGTGTGTACATGTGTGTATGTACATGTGTGGGTAT